TCCTTTTGTCTGCACAAGATGGTTTTCTGCAAACACACACACACACACACACACACACTGAATACTTTTCAAGAGAACAGAAAAGAAGTTTATGTTCATGATATTCGTTAATGGAGAAACTTTCACATGCAGTACATCTCCCAGGAAAAGGTGCATAGAACAATTTTAATTTTTTCTTGGTAAAAAGTTTTAGCACATTTTTTTTTTTGCCTTAAAATGATGTAGGGAATTTGATATAATTTTTTTAGGAAAAGTTTTCACCAAAATAAAAGAACACTGTGTTTTTTTTAAAGATGTTGTTGCATTTTTCCTCGACTTATGCGCTGTATAATAGGCCACAAATGGTAGTAATAGGCCACAAATGGTAGTAATTTATCTCCCACAGCAAGAGAATACAAACATTTTACTGTACTAGTAAAGCACCATAGTAGTTAAGATACCACAGTATTTCAATTTTCCTTTTGATTTTTACAGTATGTTTTTATACCTCTATCCCACTAAGTCTAACCCAGAGAATACTTTCCCCTGTCTGCCCTTCCATTCTCTTTTCTCACATCCAGAAGCAATATCAAAACTTGGAATTCTGTATTAAAAAAAAACATGCATGTAATGAGATGATTTATTTTCTAAAGTTCTCACATTACTTTCAGAATCACTGAGATCTCATACAGCATGTAATAATGAGTAATATTTGAATATAGCTTTTTTACTAGCCTGTAGAAACATTCATTTTCCAGACAATAATTTTAAATAACAGACATTAATAGAAGACGTGCTAATGTCTGTGGCTCTCTAACTGAATTTTCAGATAAAACGAGGCATCTTCTAGGATAAGGATAAGGATAGGATGAAAGAGAATTTAATCCCTTTGAAGACATTATTATTGTTGTTGTTGTTATTGTTGTTGTTATTGTTATTATATTGTTATTTCATGGGTGCTGTAGTTTCTAGAAGCTGTGATCCCATGGTTGTTCCTCTGATTTACTGGTATACTTGTCCAGAGGTGGTATTCAGCAGGTTCTGACCAGTTCTGGAGAACCAGTAGTGGAAATTTTTAGTAGTTCAGAGAACCAGCAAATACCACCTCTGAGTGGAGATTTTACAGTCCCCTGCTATGCCCACCAAACCATGCCCACAGAACTGGTAGTAAAAAAAATTTGAATCCCACCACTGTATTTGTCCATCAAACTGAAAGTAAGCAGTGAAGTAGAAGTGGATGAAGTCCATGATTCTAGGTCTTTTGGTCTTAAATGTATTTGGCTACGTTGGAGGTGTTATGTAGTATTACTGCCATGGATTCTTTACTTCTGGATCTATGAATGTAAAGAATACTGTAACTTCAAATGAAATTATAATTTCCTCTTCTATTTTAGGTCTTTGATTTTCTTGAGGCACTGTCATGGGGAATTGATAAAATAATTGCTCCCTATTGCGAGATAGCCAAGCTTTTTTTTAAAGTTAGCCTAAGGTATACACATATATACATATACATATATGTACACATACATACATACATACATACACACACAGATATATATATATATATAATCCAGAAATTTGATGACCTACAACATCAAAGGCCTTAATATTACATGCCTAGACAAATTGATGGGTAAGGGTGACTAAAACAATGATTGAAATTTTCTGAAATTCAGTATCTGGATCTGATAGAAGAACATGCCATCTGTCTGTCTGTCTGTCTGTCTGTCTGTCTGTCTGTCTGTCTGTCTGTCTGTCTATCTATCTATCTATCTATCTATCTATCTATCTATCTATCTATCTATCTATCTATCTATCAATCAATCTATCTATCTATCTATCTGATAGAAGAACATGCAACTTATTTATTTATTTAATTGATTGATTATTCTCCCTTTATTATTTTTACAAAAACCTCAGAGTGGGGAACATATCCATCATATTTACATATCCTATTTTCCCCACAACAACAACCTTGTGAGGTGGCTTTGGCTGAGAGGGAATGACTAATCCAAGACTGGCTTTCATGGCTAAGATGGGACTTGAATTCACCATCTTTTGGGATAAATTTAAACAATTATTGAACAAGACAATCACTACTGAGGAGTACATGTATAAATATGTGCATGTGTGTGTGCATTTTGAAGTATAATTAATTTTATTTATTTATATCCCACCTTTATTATTTTTATAAATAATTCAAGATAGCAAATATACCTAATACTCCTTCCTTCTCCTATTTTCTCCACAACTGAGAGTGACCTGCTCAAAGTCATCCAGCTCACTTTCATGCCCAAGGCTGGACTAGAACTCATGGTCTATTGTGCTGTCCAGCCAGTGTATGGAAATTGGATAGTTAGATAGCAATTGTGAGCTGTATCCTGGGAAATGTAGTCCATGTCACGTGACCACATCTGTAATCCTGATTGGTCACTAAATTGACCCTCGATGGGTTGGGGGAGGTTTCTTCACTCTTGCCTGAACTCACGGACTCATGGTAGCTGCTCTATCTCTACCGCTACAAGATGGGAGGAAAGGAATAAGGAGATAACCATTTTTTAACCTACAAGACAGATATGCAAAGGATTGGACATTAAGAAAAACTTTGTCACAAATGTGAGATGAGGACACCTGATGAACCAATAATAAAGACTTTGTATGAATTTTTTGTTGAGTTTATCTATCTGCATCTGTACAGAAGACAAAATCTACCACTGTACAGAATACAGAACATCTATTGATTTCAAAAACATTGTTCTTTAATTTTCTGCTGAATTTTTCAGTCCCACCAATAGCTTTCAAAACAATACAACTGTGGTTTGAAGATGGAGTTTCAGTCTTCTGAATCCTAAATACTAACTTCTAATTAGTATCAGACATGATTCTTGTTGGATGTGCAGTAATCACAGGGTTCCCACACACAAACTACTTCTCCCCTAATGAGAGACATCAGGTACTGTATTCTTTCCCATTTCCAAGCAACAGGGTAGAAATTATAGGCCTTTCTGGATTCAATCCAATCCTGAGATAGGTTGCTGGAAGAAATAGCTAGATTCATACAATACATTGAACCAAGTCAAGAACTGGCTAAACATGTTATGTGAACTAAAACAGCCAACAGAGAGGCAGAAGAGAACCCTGTGTTTATTTAAACTAAAGTATCCTCATGTAACCAAGTCAAAAGTGAAGTGAAATTGCCCTAAACTGCCACCTAGTGAGTTCTCCAATAAAGAGTAAGAAAGAGCAAACAGCTCAAAATATAAAGCTCTTTAATGCAGAACTCACTGGAAGATTCCTGCTGCCAGAGAAGATGCCATCTAATGCCAGTTCAGTCACAGCCATGGTAGTTTAGAGTCTAACTCCAATAGAGTGAAGGTTTGTCCATTCACTCCTGGTTCAAAAGTTCATGAGATAATAAGAATGTCCTGTTAAGACTACCAGAAGTGAATATCCAACTTATTTCTGTTTGCTACTTAACAAGGAGCAAGTATATTTAAATTATTACAGAGGACAAATTGTGATAACTGCTGGATTTATATTTTCATTATGGGGAAGCAGTGGGTGAACCATTAGTTGGGTCTGCACTAATCCACAAAGTAGATTAATACAATTTAGTCTAGTTAGTTATATAAACCAAGTCTAATTAATATAATTAAATTTAAGGGTCAATATGTCAAATACTGAAAACAAGAGGGAGAGAAAGAGAGAGAGAGAAAGAGAGAGGGAGGAAGGGAGAGAGGGAGGGGAGAGAGAGACTGAGTTAAATGGTGGTTAATAGTACTTATCTATCCAGGTTGCAAAAATTCAGATGACTACTAGATAGCAGCAAAAAGGATAATTATCTGTATTTCTTTACTGTAGTATAGATTTTAACCTACTGTAGTGTAGATTTTACAGAACTGGTAGCCCTAGTATAAACATATATATTAAGTGTCTGACTGACTTCTCAACAATTAAGGGATAACAAGAAATACACAAATGTACTAGAACAATAATGTTTTTTATTTACTTTCATATGAAGACAATGTTTGTTGCAGGATCATTGTTGCACTGTGTTTGAAGAACATGATGTGTTTGCATAACATAATGAATCACAAACTAGCCAAATATGTTTTATACAGCATGTTATATAAATTCAACCCACATAGTTCAGTGTACTCTGCAAATCTAAGAAAGTGGGTTGAGGAAAAAGATAGTAAAATTAACAGTAAGAGTACTACTGTACAAGCTGTACATGTTAGTGCTTTGGACTACAATTCCCCCAGTCTCTTGGTTTCTAGTCATGCTCATGTTCATTTCTGTCACTTGGCACTGAAGTCTAAGCCATCAGATTCTAGTCTACATGCATTCTGGGTTTCAAATCAAACCATCCTTTATCCATTACTTTTTCTATATAGAATCTGATGACAACTTGTAGAGCAGGAAGCTGGCTCATCACTTTCTGGTGTTCTGATTGGTCATAATAATTGTCCAATTTGGATTATTAATCTAAAGTTTACCAGATACCTGTGCGAACAAATAAGGCTCACGTTCGAGTGGTAATTTTGTGCCACGTTAAAAGCTTGAAATTTGAATTCAGTAAGATTTCAATAATCTGTTTACATGTGTGTACCTGTACAGAAGATAGCTGGGTTCACTCGATTATAAATCCATATATCTTTATTAGGACCAACCGAGGCGTCCTAAACTAGGAAACGCTAGTTTAGAACCTCTCGGTAAGTTGTCCTCATATTGGAGCACAATGGTGAGTTGTTCTACCTATATCCTGTCTTCCTCTCTGGAGACCAGTCTTCATTTATATCGGACGGCCCCTCAGAAAAAACTTTTTTCTTCTTCTTCCGTAGTTTTCCCTTCGCGATTCCGTAAAAACCATCCGCTACAAGATAGGACAAGCTCCTATATCCCCCCCACCTCCAGCCCGAGCTTCTTCTGTACGATGCTCACTGCGGAACCATGCCTTACTCTCCCGATTAGCTAAAGGCAAGAGCTACGAGACCGCAGGCAAGCGACTCTTCCCTTACCTTTTCCTCCTGCCGAAAGCACACAACGCCCCGAAAGCCAGAGCGGTAGCGAGCGCCAGACCGTACGCGCCACCAGGCAGCCACTCCAGGAGGCCCATGTTGGGGAGAGCCTTTTTCCTCACCAGCTACCGAAAGCGAAGGTCGTTCCTGCGCTCGGCTAAGTTTCTGCGGGGCAGCCGCTCCTTCCTTTCGCCCTCACGGTCGCTTAATCAAATAGCGGCGTGCTGGGAAGTTTGGAGCTCGACGTCAACAAAGCCAAACTCCAGTGAGCAACCGCGCTCCGACTGGAGCACGGGAGTTCCCGGCCCCTCCTCTTGGGATCGGCCGAAAGAGTTGACACAGGAAAAGGGAAAGGGTGAGGCCTGCTCCCCCTCCCTTCCCCGCCCCTTTCCGCGCGAAATGAAAGAACGGATTGTTCTTTTTAGGAAAGGTGGCCAGGTCCGAATCAGTTTCCCAAAGTTGGAAGAAAGTTTCCCGCTGGAAAAGTCACAAGGTCATAAAACCTTAATCCATCCTTACGCGCTCGAATTTATTTTTATTTATTTGTTTATTTTGATTTGACAAGTTCTTACAAGATAATAGGAATAAGTATAAACACGAGTAAGAATACAAGAAATAGGTACGAATAAATGGGGACCATAGGACAGGGACGGTAGGCACCATTGTGCACTTATGCACACCCCCTTACAGACTTCTTAGGAATGGTCAGTAGTGGATAGTTTGAGGTTAAAAGAGGATGTAACAATAGAGTCAGGTAGTGCATTCCAGGCATTGACCCCTCTCTTGCTGAAGTCCTACTTTCTGCAATCAAGTTTGGAGCAGTTTACATTGGGTTTGTATCTGTTGTGTGCTCTTGTATTGTTGCAGTTGAAGCTGAAGTAGTCATTGACTAGTAGGACACTGTAACAGATAATTTTGTGTGCTATGCTTAAGTCCAACCCCCATAGGCAACGTAGTTCTAAGTTATCCAAGCCCCAAATTTCAAGCCGGTGATTAGGATATTCTGTTGTGTGCAGAGGAGTGGACAACTCTTCTCGTGAAATACTTCTGGACTCGCTCAATTGTATTAATGTCCGATATACAGTGCAGATTCCAGACAGATGAGCTGTATTCGAGTATTGGTCTAGCAAAGGTTTTGTATGCCCTAGTTCGCAATTCAATATTACTAGAGGAGAAGCTTTGTAAGATTAGATTTACAACTCTTAATGCCTTTTTGGCAATGCTGTTTCAGTGAGCTCTGGTGCTTTGATCATTTGATATGAGTACTCCAAGGTCCTTGACAGAGTGAGGGTCCTAAACGAAGTCATTTCGACCTAGCTTGTATTTGGTGTACTGGGTTTTTTTAAACTAATGTGTAGGAGAGAGACATTTTATTTGTTATTTTGAGTTTTGCTAGGGATGGGCTCTGTGGCTTTGCTAGGGATTTGGCCTGGCAGAGTTCCAGTATCCCATAGGAATTTCCCAGAACCTTTCAAAAGATGAGAAAGGTCGACATTGTTCTGCTGATTCACTCCTCTGGAAACCAAGCTTCCCACGGTCGGTTTGTAAATTGCTGTAAGGTTGCTGTAAGTACAGTTGCTGTAAGTATTGTTGTCCAACCAGGCTACACAACCAAACAATGCTCACATATACACTCAACACAGGTGATCAGGCTGTGTCAGAGTGGACTGGAAAGCAGACTCAGGGCATCCCCTGCTCTAACGAGAGTTGTCTCACACTTCAGGGGTCTGGATTCATTCCAGTCTTCTCTTTATACCCAGCTTGTTTAGTCAGAATCCATGTGTATGGTGCCCTGGTCTTGCCTGGCACTTCACATTCTTACTCTCTGTTCCATGACTCAATGAAAAGTGCACTGCATTCCTTACGCCCACTAATGTTCCTCCTGGTAGCATCACCTATTCATTCATACACACATCCAGAATTTTTTGTTATCAATGATACACACATTCCAGCAATATGAGTTTCCCTATGGATTCAGGAAAAGACTAAATATGGTTGTGCTGTAGGCTCACCATAGTCATCACCTATTCTAATATATGATACGCTATGTATCATATTGGTAATTCAACTGTCTATCCATAGGATATAACATGTAATACGTAATATAGGCATCTGTTAGCTTGTTTAAATTCCCTCAATTTCATCATTCTCATTCACTTTTTTGATGATGGTATAATATGAGGTTAAATTGCTAAAAAGAAAGATATTGTCCAACAATCAAAACTGTAGTAAGATCAGATAATCCACTTTTAAAATTATAAACTAGAAATGCTAACCTCTGCCTCAGAATTTATATTGCGGTATTTTAGCTGCAGTTTAATTATTATCACTTATTTTTAACAAGTTTTACAAAACTATGTAAACTATAAAAACAAAGCAAGCAAACAAACAAAAAAAGAACAGAAAAAAGGAGAAACTATTGATATATATTATATATTAATTAAATGTCAATCAAATATATAAATCTACCAGGCTGGGGGGATTGATTGCCTAATATTAAAAATATCATAAAATATAGGCCACAGAAAATCATATTGAGTTGTTTTTTATTAGTTGATAAATGTCATTAGCACAATGTAAATATTTGAGTTTGTAATTCATATAGTTTATATTTAGTATCAAGGACTTTCTATTCCTAACAATATTTCTATGTATGGTGAATTAGATATTGTTTAGAGAACATTGCCATAGATATTGATCTGGATCAAAATTTCACTGGGTTGGTGGCATAAAATTAATTTCATTAAAATGAATACTGCTCAAAGGTAATCCATATATTAAGAGTTATGTTAATGCAAAATAATTGTTTCTTTGGATAGATAATTTATTCAAGAAATTTATATGGAAAGTAGACCAATAGAAGTTTATTAGCTAAACTGAGATTATAGACGTATTACATAAAATATGTAAAGATTTCCTAGAAGAGATTTTTTCAACCTTGACATTTTTAGGATGTGTGGATTTCAACTGCTAAAATTCCCCAGCCAGCATTCTGGGATTTGAAGTTTATGCATCTAAAGTTGCCAGTGTTAAGAAACACTGTCTTAGATGTTTTAGTCCTTCAAGTTTATCATTCTGCCATTAAACATTAGCCTTCTCCAGGAAATCCACAATCATGACTTGGAGTGACAACTTTTTTCCCCACTAGTTATGTTGTAATAGCTAGGAGCATTCCATTTCTCGAGATATAAGTTTCATAAGCCATCAGAAATCATAAGGTCAGAAGGATAATGCTCTCTTTTAACCCAAAATGTGTATGCACAACATATCTCCTCAGTAAAGGGTAAAGTGCAGTTGTCACAGTAAGATTTATTATTTATTCATTGTTTGCATTATTTATTCATTGTTTGCATAACCTTGAGATAGTCATTCTGTATAACTAAAAGCTGAAACAGAAGAAGACTTAATCCTCATTCAAATCTGGATGGTTTACCTATTTGGGTGGTGTAAACACCTCATGGACATGATGTGGAGCAGTGCTAACAGTACTAGATCCTTGTGGATCCTTGGGGCACTTCTTTATCTTTAAAGGGAGTTTTTCTGCACATTAGCAGAAGCTCCTTTTGATAAAGCAAGGCTTGCTTTTCCAGAAGGACCAAACAAGCAGAAGATGGTTATTATTTAAGCGTGAAAAACAAGTTTCTCATAGCCCTTCATTCTTATAGCTGCGGGGGGGAAATTGATTTTGTCATTAAAATGTTGGATAGATTATTAACCAAAATATAGCAGACAATGGCCAAATGCAGCTTTTCGGCTCCACTATAGGTATTTTCCATTGTGTTATCAGTGTTTAATTTCTAGGATTTTAGATTTGGGGGAAGTTAACCTTCACTCACAATTCTGTCTTGCCTGGAGCAACATCTAAATGTCTAGCACTGATATTTAATTTTAGTATATGGACAGAAAGCTGCCATAAACTACCATATGTGCTTCAATTTGGCAAGGTGCAAACTGCATTTCTAAAAATATAAGCTATTTGTAATATGAAACATTTTTGTACATTTTCATTACATTCTTAACCAGACCAATTAAAGACCTAATGGCTGCATTCACATAACATAGTAAATTTGCTTTGTTTTAACCCTAGTTACATTTCTTTGGGTGGTTCAGCATTTTATGCAACCAAGCCTGTTTGATTAATTTATCATTCCATATGTTGTGCAAATAGCTTCAGATAGCTTAATTCATAATCCGAATTAAACAGGTTGCGTGAATCCAATTAATGTTTCATATCTGTGCAGGTAATTCTCGACTTATGACCACTACTGGAATTTGGTTGTAAGTTGTTGTGGTCATTAAGTGATGCATACATGTGGCTGCCTTGCTCAACAACCACCATCCCAACTCTTTGTGCTGCAATCCTTAAGCAACCATGCAGCGGTGCCAGCAGTGGGGGAGGCATTGGGAGGCCCAGTGCCTGCCAGCATGTGGAAACCTGTCACAGACTGAAAAGCCTCTTTCTCTCTCTCCCCCGACCCCAGTTCTCCCAAGAACCTGGCCTTCTTCCTCTTGCCTCACCACTCCCAGAAGTCCTCAGTAGATTAGGCCCAACAGCACATGGTCCTCCTGCCTCTTCCTCTGCACTCAGTGGTGGGATTCAAAACATTTTACTACCCATTCTGTGGGTGTGGCTTGGTGGGCGTAGCTTGTTGGACGTGGCAGGGGAAGGATACTGCAAAATGCCTATTCCTTTTCCACTCCTGGGGGAAGGTTACAAAAAAATCCCATTTCCTCCCCACACCACTAACCTACTTTCCAGCTCCATTCTCCTGTGCAGGGCAACAAAAGAAGACCCAGCCAATCAGCTGGGACTTGTGAGACAGATAATAGAAGTATTTGGCAGTTCTCCAAACTACTCAAAATTTCTGCTACTGGTTCTCCAGAACTGGTCAGAACCTGCTGAATACCACCTCTATCTGCATTCCTAAAAAGCCTGGCTTACTCCTTTCCCACCACCACTGGCCTTCTCCCTCCCCACCACTATTCCTGAAAAGTCTGGCCTTTTCTCTACCTACCATGCCCAGGTGCACTTTCTTTTCCCTTTCCCTGCAATTGGTGACAGGCACTCTCACCAATGCAGAGCTCAGCTAGAAAGCTTAGCAAAGGTAACCAAGCTTTCTGAAGATTAAAGAACCAATTCTTTGTGTGTATGCTGTGATGTTAATGCGATTATACATCTTGGTACAAATGATCTGTCCCAGAAGGATGTACTTTCTGTTCAGAAAGACTTCCAGAGCTTGGGGTATTAACTTAGTAATATGGACTGTAGGCTTATCTTTTCAGAGGTTCTACCAGTATACAAGGAACAAAAAG